CTCAAAGCACCTGGTGGCTTCAGCGATCTTGCAGTTTTACCAGGACCATGGCCTATTTCCAGATGGCCTATGCAGAACCACTCCAAGTGTGATTGATTGGGCTGGAAAGATGGCGCTGGGATTGACTCGGGTGGTTGCCTGCTCGATTTGCTTGGGCAGCTTTTGGGCTTTCCTTGTCAATCCTTTGATTTCCAGAGTGTCTGACTCAGTCAAATCATTGACATTCATTGACTAATATTTTTGGTGAGGCTTGCCGGTTCCGGCGTTTGGCGATGCGCAGCTCTACCCAGAAGACAAAAGCGCTGCAATGGATCAAAGACCAATGCGATGGCTATGTGGATGCTTGTTCAGCTGTTATTTTTGTTGTCTCCTTTTCCAGCTGTTATTTTTGTCGTCTCCTTTTCCCTGAACCCTTAAGTTGTGTCAGCGATTGTGTGCTGCCTCCTAGGATTGGAAGCTCCTACAGAAGAAGTCACAAGATGGATGGTCAGAATGGGACGATGATGATATTTCCTCGTCAGTGACCCCAGATCCAATTGATAGTGGTGCTCTCCTGGCCATTGTGGAATCCGTCAAGCGCTCCTTTGCAGCCAAAGACATATTCAGTCCACCTGGGCCGAAAAACCTACAGGATGAGTTTGTTTCAGCTGCTTGTGCGAGTGGGGATGGAAAGAATGGGAAGGAGAAGGGTACATCTAAATCCCCTCCTGCAGTATTGCCGAAGAAGGCAGGGTTTGTACCAGATTCTTTCCCCTAAGTATTGGGTGTTTTTTTGACCCCTGAAGGTTTTAGAGACGCTGCGACAGATCCAATGCCCTTTACCACTTCCACCAGTGACTGAAGACAAGAACGATGAGGAAACGGGTCGAGGTAGCAGCAAGGACAAGAAAAAAAAGAAAACTCAGAAGGCAAAGCCAAAGAAAAAAGGCAAGAAAAAGCAAACTGAGACTTCTAGCGTTTCGGGGGATGGGGACCAGGGTGAACAGTCTTCTTACAAGGCTGGTTCCTTTCAGGAAGAATATCGCAAATTTTTGAATGAACGAAAGGCTGCTGGTGAGAGCCACCAGAATGCACAAAAAAGTTGGGCAGCTTCAGCCAAGCGAGCTGAGCTCCTGGCGGGCCTTTCGGAATCTGAGCTGAAGCGACGCCGCTTCAAGAAGTAGAGAATGGCATTGCAGGGTTTAGATCAATGCCAGGCTGAAAAACAACCAATTTGCTAGCTGTATTGAATTTTCAAGGCTCAACAGATCTCAACAGATTTGTTGTTTACTTTTAGTTGGAGGCTCAAATTTGTCCGCGGGTTTCCTTTCTCACTGCAGTGGTCTCAATCCATGGCAGATGTAGCGTCAATGCTGCGCTGGAGCCTCCCACCCATTCTGGTCTACATCGTCCTCTTGGTGAAGTTTGCTGGGATGACAATGTCCCCGCTGGACTTTGTTGAGATCTTCAGTGGAAAGGGGGAGCTTTCCAGAGCCATGCGATCAGTGGCCTGCCCCAAATATGTGTTCCATTTTTGATTAGTGAGGCTTAGGCCAATCCTTATTTAAGTTGTGTTTGCCTCAGGCGAACTTCATTGGCGTCAGCATCGACTATGACCACGACCCCAGAACACAGGATCTGCTCTCGTCTGCAGGTTTTGCGCTACCTGGAGCTGTCCCTGAAACTTTTGGTTTGCTTTCCCCTGGCTTTAGTAATTATGTGGATGTTGAATGTTGGGTGGATTTGTCTGGTTTTCACATTGGTTGCCCAGCTGGGCAGGTTGGTGCTGAGCCAGATTCTTCAAGTGTCTCCTGGAGGCCTTGTGCTGGCCGCGTTGGTTTGCAGTTCCTTCTCCCGCATGTTGCTGGGCTTTGTTTGGCATGGTTTTTTCCTCGAGGGTTGTGGTGTTGATTTGGTGATTGAATTCCAGGGTGCCAATTCTTGGAAGAAAAGCCAACCCATTTTTGAATATCCTCTGCTTTCCTCTGAGGAGCCGCTCCACGTCGGGAAGAACGGCATTCAACCCAGAAGGCTTCAACCGCTTCTCTTTCGCGAATGAGGGGAATATTCTAGGTTGCCGCACCGTGTTTTGCCTGTGGCTTGCAGCCTGCCGTGGAGCACGCTTCATTTTAGAACAGCCGCATGGATCCATTTTGGGCCATCACCCTTCAATGAACATGTTGTTCAAGTATGTATGCGTTGCTAGGAACTGTTTTGGCAAGTGTTTCTCTTTTACTTGGAGTTGTGAGGATGTCCTTGGTATATGTTTGATTCTTTCGAGCGCCGCTATGAGGTTTTTCAATCAGGGTTCTGGATGGGCTCATTTGGTGGCCCAACACCAAAGCGTCATACTCTGTGGTCTTCAGATGCTGCAATCCTTGAATGCATTCATCGTCGTGGTGGGCATCTTCCACGAGAGGATGCTGTGGTTTGATCGTGTATTTATTTGAAGAAGACCGGGGGTTGAGGATGTTTAGAGTTTGGTGTGAGCCATAGCTTTTTTACCTGGTGCTCTGGGAAATGAGGAAAGGCAGAAGCTCACAGGCAAATCGCTGGTGATCAAAAGTCTGGACAAACTGGGCCGCACTCGCACCACTGGCAAGAAAAAGGAGCTCAAAGAGTCACAGAAGCTTGGGTGATTTTGAGGAACCTATGATTTTTTTCCAGGGAGTCATTTGGCGCAAATACTAAATACACAAAACAATTGCAAAGCGTGTTGAAAAAAGTCAAACTAGTAGCCAAGGGCATATACGGCCGACTTTGGGCACTTTGTTGCTGCTGCGCTCAAAGCGGTGTGGTCCAACCCTTTGCCCGGGCCACGAGTTGAAGTTCACATTGATGAATCCAAGACCGATTGGGAGCTGTTCAGGGATCATTGCTTGGATGAGAACTTTGCCTTGAAGGGTTCGCCGTGGCATGAAGAACCTTTGTCGCATTTGCTTTCTTTTGGACTGGATGGTCATTGATTCTATTCAGAGTGATCCTCGAGTGTGTCCAAACATTGGGAAGTGTAGCCAAGCCTAGGCACAGCTTCCTCAAGTAGCAGACTATCTCCGGGCTATGTGTGAATCTCGCGGCACCCTTCCTGGCAATTGGAGCCAGCTCCTATCAGTGAAAATGCCAAGTGACTTGGCAGCAAATGTGTGCGAACCTGGTCTTCACCAGGAACCCTACGATGTCGCTAAGTGTATCGCAGCCATTTTGTTCAATGACTGGGCGCACACTGGACCAGCGGCTTTTTGCCTTGGCGGAGTATGTAGGGCAGCTTCGCTTGGAGAGGTTCGACTTGGAGGGCTACCACGAGATGGAGCGCTTTAAGTGGGAACTCGTGTCCTGGCTCTGTCCTGCAAAGGTTGAATGTTCCCCACTTTGTTCCCCTGCCTGAACATTAACATTTTACTATGGGGAAGCTTTTTGAACACATTCAGTTGGTTATCGTTCCATTGCATTGATTGTGTTTGATTTGTGAATGGTATTGGAGACTCTCCAAAACCTCAACCAACCCACATTCAGGCGGTCAGTATTGCCTTTGACCAGAGTGAGCAACAGAAGAGTCAGCGAGAGCAGAGTCAGCGAGAGCAGATTCAGCGAGAGCAGTTTCAGCGAGAGCAGTTTCAGCGAGCGCAGATTCAGCGAGAGCAGTTTCAGCGATGGCAGATTCAGCGAGAGCAAATGCGACTACATGCAGGAGCCTTGGTTCAATAATATTAAAATATATGGTTGGCTGGATAAGGTTTTTTTGGTCGTGTATGTTTTTGCTGGGTGGCTAGGCTAGATGGATTGATACCTTTATCCGGGCAAGATCCTTTGCGAGGAAAGCGTGCAACTCGAGTGTCTTCAGATCGTGATTCGTCCTCCTCTTCCTACAGCTCAGACTCTTCATACGATTATTCCGCAACCACGGCCAGCAATTCTACAGCGCCTTGCTTTGCGCTAGTCTCCCTGCGCTTTGTCTTGGGGATGTGTCCTTTTCCTTTTTTGCAGATGTTCAATGAACCTTCTTGCGGTGTCCCAGGATTGAAAGCGACAGACAGGGCCCTGGAACATGGCTTTAAATTTGAGCAGGAAAAGCACTGGAGCTCTTCTACACCTCTTGGTCGGAGAGTTCACCCTTTGCATTTCACAAAGACTCAAACGACATCAAACGACACCAAATAAAGTTGTGGATCTTTCAAGGTTGAGGGTCATGTTGGATGTGTCCTTTCTGTTTGTAAGGTGGGAGGGGTGCAAATGTTCAGTTTGTTAGGGGTCCACTACATATAACATAACGGGGCCAAGTCGACCAGAGTTGGAAAACCCAGTTGTTTTGAAGTTGGGGTGGGGACCCGGCCATATCTGGCCTTATCTCAGGTGACTTTCCTGATCGAGACCTCAATCCAGCAAATGATGATGCTGATTCAGATGACAGCTGGTCGTTGGTGTTGCCAGACCCGGAGTTCCTAGGCTAATCAAGTGATATGTGACAGGTTTCTATGTTTTTTGGTGATCTTTGACAACCACCTGAGGTAAAATGGCTTTATGTCGCCAATGATGATGGGAAATTCGGGGGCCAGTTGTTGAAGAGTTACAACTGGCATGTCAAACAAACAGGGGTTGCAAAGAAAATCACAAAAAAAAAGAGCGTGAAAATCCGTGAAAACGCGTGAAATGTAACACTTTTCCCTGGATTTGTGATGCTTTTCCCCGTGAAAACGCGTGAAAATTGTTTTTCCATTTTTCTACAAACTCTAGTGTGGCAGATTGGCTACAATAGGGTCTCACTGGTATCACGCTTGCGACACTTAAGCCATGAACATCGACATCGATGACTTGATGCGGGACCACGGCTTGACAAGAGAGGAAGCTGCGGAGGTGGTGCGCCGGCTGAAAGCTACACCGGCATCTTGGACTACATACCTTTAGACTTGTTTCTTTTCAACTGCATGATACCTCGTGGGATAGTTTTTGGACTGGAATGGGGAACCAACCAGGCATCATCAACAACAATGACACCAGAGACGAGACCAAAGAGGCTGAGACCCATGATTGCGACGCCAGCCAAGTTCCCAGAACCAAAGGGCAAGGCAAAGGCAAAAGCTCAAAACAAAAAGCCTGAGGAGAAACCGGAGGAACCAGAAGAAACCAAGAAGTCCAAGAAAAAGAAGAGAGAAGATGAAGAAACCAAGGACGTAGAAGAAGCCAAGAAGCAGAAGAAGAAGACAAAGAAGGTGGAAAATGAGGAATTGGAGGAACCAGAGAAATCCCAGAAGAAGAAGACGAAGAAGAAAGACAATGAGGAATTGGAGGAACCAGAGAAACCCCAGAAGAGGAAGACGAAGAAGGCTGAGGATGATGAAGCAGAAGACACCAAGAAGTCCCAGAAGGAAAAAAAGACAAAGGGGGCAGATGAGGAATTGGAGGAACCAGAAGCCAAGAAACACCAGAAGAAGACGAAGAAGGCAGAGGAAGAGGAAGAAGCCAATACCCGGAAGAAAAAGAAGACAAAGGGGGCAGCAGATGAGGAATTGGAGACGAAGACAAAGAAGGCAAAAGATGTGGAACCAGCCAAGAAGCCCAAGAAGAACAAAACGGCAGAGAAGAATAAGAAAAGTGAGGAGATCACCGAGGAACCCAACGACAAGCGACAGAAGAAGAAGAAGAAGCAGACTAAAGAGGCAGAACCTACAGCAGAGCCAGAAGAGGAAGCAGAGGAGGAAGCACAGGAGGAAGCAGAGGAGGAAGCAGAGGAGGAAGCACAGGAGGAAGTGGAGGAGGAAGCAGAGAAAGAAGCACAGGAGGAAGTGCAGGAGGAAGCACAGGAGGAAGCAGAGGAGAAGCACACAGAGGCAAAGGATGAACACATGAAAGACGAGCTGAAACAGGAGTCTTCTTCAGAGGTGATGACCTCACCTGCTGGAGTGCCGCCTGTGCGATCACCTCCTTCGGATGTCTTCACACTTCTTGAAGGGCAAGCTCAAATGATGGCCCAGGCAGCAGCTACAGTCTTTACAAACTTGTCACAGGAGGCCTCGCAAACAGAGTCTCAACTTTTTGCAGGGTTTCTTGACTGCTCTGTGTCTTGTTTGGTATTTTTTTGCTGGAGACTATGTAAAAAGACATATTCATAATTTAAGGGGATTTTTTTGACATTCTTAGGTTGGGTGGATCTGCGAGCGAAGTGGCTACTCAGAAGCTTCAGGAGGAGATGGTTCGCGCGATCACGGCTGCGTTGACCAACGTCTTGCCAGTGAACCAGGCAGTAGATATTTCAAAGTCAAGGGCACCGCAGTTCACCAGTATGCTGGCTTTGCCGGCTCCATTTGCTGACACTCAGATCGACCCTGAATCCAATGAGAAGGAACAGCCGGAAAAGGAGCAGGAGCAGAAGCCAGATGAAGTCCTGCCAGCTGAAGCTCCTGAACCCGCTCCTTCTGCTCCTTCCCAGGTTTCAGCTTTGTCTCCGAGTGGATTGGCTGCGGCAGAAACCAATGCGGCTTCCAAAGAACTTCAAGATGCATGTAAGCCACTTCCAGAAGAATCAGAGTTGTTTGATCGAGAAACAGAACCTGGAGAAGTAGCATACACCAACAAGGCGCAGATCAAGGGTATGAAAGAAGGCTGGGTGGTCAAACTCTCGATTTTTCTTGATTGGCGTTTGTGGTTCCAAGAGTTTTGTCAATCCTCCATCCTTTCCCCTGTGGCAGATGAGATCCTGGAATTGCTGAAGGCTGGCAAGATTCCGTATGAGTGGATCAACACCAGCAACTGTCGGAAGGCAGCCATGAAAATGAACCGTTGGTGTGAAGATCATGGGGACGCGGAAACCGTACCGAATGTCATGAAGATGTTCAACGGCTCTCACACAGAAAGGCTGAAGCTCCTTCGGAATTGGATTGCTTCGGGTGGTGTTGCAGAGAAGGTGGAAACTACGCTTACTGTCACCAAGGAGCAGATGCAGCAGGGCAAGGAGAAAGAGAAGCTGCTCACTATCCAGGGCATGAAAGACCATGGGTTCTCAGAGCCACTGAACGGATGAATCGGATTGAATTTTTTTGTTTCCAAAGGTTTCCAACTTTTTGTTTGCTGGTCTGAAACCATGGTGCTTTCTTTTTCAGCCATTCCATCCAGGGCGAAGATCAAGCACATCTGTCAGACCTTCACTCCGGTCCTCGACCCTGACTGCCCGCATCTTTTGGAAGAGACCAAATGGTGGTGCAATGTCGAGCAGGAAAGGACAAGGACTTCCACCAACAAGCAATGTTTGTCTGGTGAAGTTCGCGTGAAGACCGATGGAGGTGTGATCAATGCCCTTACCAACGAGCCGGCTTCGAATGGCCAAGCCCCTCCCAGCGCTTTCAATGTCCGGGGCCTTTTGGATGATTCTTTCAAACCGAAAGCCGTGCGTGCAGAGCCTCAAGAGGAGGATCCTAAGCCAAAGACGAAGCCAAGGAAGCCTCAAAGGACAAAGAAGGGCACCAGCACCAAGGTTTGTGAACCCAAGAAGCGGTCAGAGATGCTGAAGGATGCTTGCTCCTAGTCTGGTCATCTTGTTCCCTTCTTCGGGGTTGGTGGGGATCGCAATTTGGAATTTTTGTGGTGATCATTGTGTTGATCCTTAGGTGCTGATGTGAAGAAAGAATACATGGCTTGCTCAGTGGGTATGGACCTGCCCAAGGGCAACGATCTACGGACTCAGCTCAACACTGCAAAGGTTGAGCTACAGGTGCTGTTGGACGAGCTTCGTAACTACGAAGACGTGGATTCAATGGCAGAGGAAAAGTTTGACTCCATTTGTGAGAAAGTGAAGGTCAAGGCTGGGTTGGGTACATTTGGTTTTCAACTGAGGGGTGCTAGGTTTTCCACCAAATGATCACCCACATATGTGGAGGTGTCTGGCAACAAGATGCTGGTGGCACAGGCCAAAGCAGTCCTACGTGAACTGGTGCCTGGTATGTCAAAGGGAATAATTGTTTATGTCACCTGTGGTTTTGTTGATAGTCCATCGCTTTGTTGAGAAACCTTGTGTGGTTCCAATATCTTAGGAAAAGGCGAAGTCGAAAGATGATTGATGAGCCAGTCTTGATGGGCAGCGCACTGAATCAAGTGTGCGATAGGGGTACACCCACAAGGGACAAACCTTTGTGTGGCTTTTGGAACCGCTCTGAACCGGGAAACAAATGTGCAAGAAACAATTTTGAAGAGCTAAGTGCAACAAACAAAAATATTGTTTGCAGAGTGGCCCTCGCAGGTCTTGTACCAGCTCCCATACGAGACGAATTGGACAAAGCGACCCTAGGCTTTGCAGAATATGTTTGGAAGACTTGGGAAAAGTTAGAATTTAGCAGAAAGTGTTTTTGTTGTAGGACTATTTGGCAACCATATAGCAAGGATTGCTAATGCCTTTGGTTCTGGACAAATCCCACAGTATTTTGCAGAGTCCATTGGAAGAATCTACTCTTCTGAGACCTTTGGCAAGGGTGATGGGTATAGTGGTGAAGCTAGACTACACAAACGTGTGGGGCGGCACGAGAACCTACGCGTCGCTTGCGAGATCACCCATTGCAACATTCCGGTGGCAGTGGAGCAGGAGGATGGGTCAGAGATTACTCAGATCATGGCATGGCCAGTTCTCTTACCACACAATTTGGTGGCTGCTTTGGTGGACCAAGGGCGTCTCAATTTGCTACTCGGCGATGCACCAGTGCGACATCTATATTGGCAAAAAATCAAGATGGACTTTACTTCGCTGTCTGATGTTGATCCAAACCTTTCTGCGCCGCTTGCTCTTTATGGTGATGAATGCACAGCTTTTCGCCAAGCCACAATGGCTTTCCACTGGCAAGCGCTTTTGAACCCACACTCAAGTAATTCCATCCAATCCAGATTCTTGATTGCGATGATTCCAAGCCAGTACTATGTGCAGCAGGTTACTTGGTGAAAAACAACGGGAAAACAAATTAAGTGGTAGGGTGTTGAGAAACCTTTTGTGTGCTGATTGCACCTGTTGCCCAGGATGGGGTCAACCTCACTATCCAGTGCTTGATGAGTTACATTGTGGAATCCCTACAGAAGCTCAGCTGCTTTGGAATTCGCGTGGCCAATGACACGAAGAGAGTGGACCCTGAAACGCTTGATGGCCTGACCTACCACTTCCACATCATGAGCATTCGAGGAGATTGGAAATTTTTGAAGCAAATCCTGAATTTATCTCGGTACGCCACTGCAGAGTATATATGTCCTTTCTGTATGGCCAGCAAGGGGTTGAAAGATATCCCGAATAACTACACAGACCTGAGTGATGATGCCCCGTGGCGTTCAACGCATTTCACCTGTTCTTTGCCGTGGGATGTGGAACCACAAATTTGTCGACTACAAGATTGGGACATTCGAAAGGTAGGCATGGACACGCTGCACATATGGAATTTGGGCTGCGCTCGTGACCTGATCCTCGGTGTTGGGCTGCAGATCTTTTGTTTTTGTAGAAAGTTGCTGGTTATGATAAACAGTTGAGTTTTGATGGTGTGCATTGCCCAGGATTGGTGGATGCATGCAATATTTGGTGAAATCGAAGTACTTTGGTCCTCGTCTTCGGCAAAGCGCAGCTTTAGCGCAAGCGACAGTGAAACTGAAATTTTGGCGCCGATCAAACAAACAAAAGGTTGCTTTGAAGAAATTTTCAAAGGACAACCTTTGTTTCAAGGCCAAAAGGTCTCCGGAGCTGCATGCCAAAGGCATGGATGCGTGTATCATTTTGAGATGGCTTGGGGAAATGCTGGAAGAGAGAGAACCAGAGTGTTCAAAGGTTGCAACCGCCATTTGGTTGGCGAATAGTTTTATGGAAGTTTTGGGCGGGGCAGGCCCTTGGCTGGATGAACACCAGCGGCTTCATGTTCAGATTGTTGGGCTGGCTTTTCAGAAAGTCTACTTGTCCCTGGCATCTGAAAACAGACGCCGGTGGTATGTCAGGCCCAAGTTTCATCTATTGACACACGTGCTGCAAATGCAGCATTCTTCTGGGCGAAACCCCCTGCTTGACAGCACGTGGTTAGATGAGGACTGGATAAAACGTGTGGGGGCCATGGTGCGCCGCTGTCATAAAGTGACGGCCCCACTCACAGTACTACAAAGGTACTTAATTTGTTTGCACCACCGTTTGCCGAAGCTCGAGTGAAATGTGAGCAGATGTATGGCAGAAACCGTGGGGACCACACGCACGGAAACAAACGACACAAACAACAAAGAGGATCAAACAGGAAACGCCCAGGGACACAGACGAAAACAAACGACACAGACAACAGACAGGAAAACAAACGACACAAACAACAGACAGACCAAACAGGAAACACCCAGACAAGAATGACAAACAATGTTTGCGTTCTAAGTATATACTTTCAAACAAATTTTGCAAAGCTCCGCTACCATACCTGCTCCGCTACCATGCTAAACGCAAGCTAAATGCTTGCTTTAGAAGACATGTGGAAACCATGAATCCATTGGGTTTTGCTGCTAAACGCAAGCTAAATGCTTGCTTTAGAAGACATGTGGAAACCATGAATCCATTGTGTTTTGCTGCTAAACGCAAGCTAAATGCTTGCTTTTGAAGACATGTGGAAACCATGAATCCATTGTGCTTTGCTGCTAAAAGCAAGCGAATGCTTGCTTTAGAAGACATGTAGTGCACTGTGTTCTGACGCTAAACAAGCAAATGTTAACCTTTTGCCCCTCAACATGAGATTTGTTAAACATTTTGCGAAAGGTTTACTTTAGGGATTTGTGTGGGAAAAAGTGGAGCGAATGTATGTCCAGGTGTTGCAGACAACCCCAAAGGTGCGTGCAGCAGCAGCATTACAGACGACACCAGAGGTATTTTCTTTATTCCCGATTGTTGTCCGTGACACCGAGCCGATTGATTGGCACTATCTTGACGCGAACAGGGTCGAGTTGTACAGTGCACAGGGTCAGAGGATTCGTCCGGCGAGCCGCATTGATCTTGGAGGCACTGCAGTGTCATTAGACTTTCACCAGGTGTTGGACACATTTCGTGAGGGGAGCTACGCGACATATCCGACTGCTGAAGAGAACGGTGTTCCGGCTAAGTCTCGAGCAGCGATTGACAGATTGAACCGGTTGGGGTTCAGTACATTGGTGACTTCATACGTGCATTCGAACTGGAGAAGAGATTGCGTGTTGAATTCTTCACGGACACTTCCCGTCCGCTACATCTTGATCACTCGAGAACCGACTGGTCAGGGTGGAAAGGCAGACAGTCTCGCGAGGATCTTCACTGTTGGGCGAGACAGGTCGATCATCCACGTGGACGACAAGAAGGAGATCTGTGTTGAGTTCAAGAGGTACTGGAATCGAGACATAGGGATCGCTCACATCCAGGTACCGCGCAAGCCTCGGCCGGAAGGTGTGAAGTCAGTCAAGAACGTTGATCGCGTGGCAGAGGCACTGGAGCAGGAAAAGGCTGCTCAGGCCGGATATCATCGACGCTAGTTGGTGTGCGCTCTCTATTAGGTTTGCGATTTGTGGAATTTGTGGTTGAATCCAGCTTGAAACATTGTTCAAACAATTTGACTTGAGCTGTGGCAGTCCCATCGATTTCACAATCATATTTGCATCAAGAGTCCATCAACTAAATCACAAACGAGAACGTGGCCGTTCCTTCCGAGGGACACCACATTGCAAGGTGAATCCCAGTCCGCTTCGCGCGCTAAAAGTGGGATCATCCAAGGGTCAGTCTGTGCGAACCATACTTCACTTGTAAAGCAACTGTTGTAGTGTAGCATTTTTTTTGCTCGTGTTCCCGATTGACACGCCGCAAATATCAGAAATCATGCCAAATGATTCAATAGGAATGGAGGTTTCAGCCGAGTCATCATCACTGCAAATTTCGAGCACGTCCCCAGAGCCTGTCCAGAGTAGAGCCATGCAAGTGAGGAAAACCTCCACGAAGGGTAGTCGATCGTCTAGTGCAAGTTCACAGAAGTCATTGCCCCCCGTACAGCCTACTCATCGGAATCGGTTTCAGGGTGTGTTGGCAGATCAGCAGAGTTCGATACGAAAGTCATCGCGCAGTTCGAGTGTAAGCGGTTCGGAACAGTCCCACCGTGGCCCAGGGTCGGAACCAAAGGTTGAATTTCAGCATCACCAGAGCATCTTTGATCAAAGAACTTTGAATGTTCACGTTGGTGTTGATCCGTCCCAAGTGTTGCAGTTGCAAAGCAATGTGCAGTCACAGGTCCATGCACTTGAACAGCAGGCTAGGGAACATGTTCATGCGGTCGAAGTTCAAGCATTAACACATGTTCAATCCGTTGAATCCCAGGCTCAACAAATGGTGAGTGCGGTTCAGTCGGAAGCCAGTGCAACCGTCCGGGAGAACCAGGCCAATGCACAGATAGCCATAGATCGTGCCAACTCGAGGGTAAGCCAATTGGAATCCCAAGCTAGTGATGTGATTCATCAAATGCAATTGAAACATCAAGCCGAGATTTTGGAACTTCAGGATACTGCCCAAGAAGCTCATCTCCA